GAGGGGTTCAGAAGTACGCCAAGCTTGTTGCAGATGTTGCAGTGAAGTGGGCTTGTCGGATTAGACCTCGCAGTGCTTTGCCTTAGGTGCCCCGGATTCAGGGTTTAGGGTTAGCGTTTGGAGGATCCCAGAGAACCCAATACCCCTGAATTAAGGAATGCACCTAAAATCATAATATTAAGGACCCTATAATTTAAGGCATGTGCTTAATTCAGGGGTATTGTTCTCTGGGATCTTCAGAACTTGGGTTTCAGGCTTCTGCGTCTGAGCTGAGCTCAGGGACGGAAACAAAGAACAATGCAGTCACAACTTCGCAGTGCTGCAGGGAGGAAGGAACCATACGGCTGTTTTAGGGAGTTATATCAGGAACCAGAAAGGTCTCAAGCATAAAGCTTGGGATGGGATGTCCTTAGCTTTGCCGGCGTACTTAAAGCCGAGTTGCTTTTTGCATTAGGTGCCTTTTCAATAACCCTAAACCCTAAACCCTAAACCTTAAGCCTTTAGTGGTGTCTCTTACAAGGATTTGCAGGAACCAAGGCCTTGCTGTCCTCGCAAGGCGAGTGGAGGAAGGGGTTCTTTGGTGCTGAATCCCATTCCGAATTTGGGGGTTCAGGATTTAGGGTTTGGGCCATGTAGCTGAATCCCATTCCCACACCCTGAGCCATTTGAGTCGCTTGGGCGATGGCTGCTGCAAAGGTATCCACTTGTTTTTCGGTTTGGTGAGGCGTCTGTCGTGCGGGTACGCCAGGCAAGGGCAACAAGGATGTTGCTGGGGCGTAGGCTTTAAATCTCGGGGATCTAGAAAACCATCCGAATCGCACCAGCTTTCGGAGACAGCTGATGGTGCAAACCTAAACCCTACACCCTAAAGCCACAGTATGCTCACTCCTTGAGATAGCTCCGAAACCACAAGCTTCATATGGGTATTTCGCACTGTGGCTGCTGGCTTTGGGAACAGAGAGGGTTTGACGAGAATCTGCTCCCAAAGCCCCGTTCTGATCCCGAAACCCAAAACCCTATGTCCTAAACCCTAAGCCCTGAACCCTAAATCCTTAAGGCCCCCTGTTCACAGCAGGTGAGGGTCTCGCGAAGCTGCTTGCGCCAGAGCTGAGTTCGCTGTGCAGCAGGGAAGGGAAAACGCGCTGTTGGTGCCGGGTGGTTTAGGGTTATACCCAGAGAACCCTATATTCCTTCATTAGGAATCTACCTTAAATCATAATATTAAGGAACCTTATCATTTAAGGTATATTCCTTCATTAAGGGTATTGGGTTCTCTGGGTAGATTTGAGGGTTTAGAGTTTAGGGTTTTGCGCTTGCGTTTGGGTCAGGGGCTTCGACCGGTGGATGTGTAGGTTGCCCATAGGCTCCATTGTAGTTCCTTCTTGGGATTACCTTCTAGGATCCTAAATATAAGCCAAAGAAATGGAGCTACAAGGGAGCCTATGGGTAGGGCTTGGGCCTCAACTTGGGGGTTTCCCGAGCAGACTTCAGCATGGCGTGGTCTCTTTCAACTGTTGTGTCGAATATAGCCTGAATAGGGTCTAGGGTTTAGGGTTGAAAATGTTTAGGGTATAGGGTTTAGGCTTAAGGTGTTCAGGGTTCAGGGTTTTGGGGTCAAGGTGTTTAGGGTTTAGGGTTTACGGTGAATAGGGCGCCTGAATAGGGTTCTGAACAGGTACCACTCAGTAATATAGGGGCCTTAACAAATAGAATCGGGTTTTGGTGGTATACTAAATTATAACCATACTGAGGTAAGGAACCCACCCAAACCCTATTTTAATCATTAGGGCCCCTACATTCCCCATATACCCTAAACCCTAAACCCCATTACATTATAGTCGCCCCGCGCCTCCGACAAAACCTACAAGTCCTGAGCTGTTTATGCAAGGCGCTTGCCCGGGAGGAGACCAATTTGTTTGCAACCTCGATGGTACGATTATGTTTCGTTGTTCAGACTCCTATACTATGGAATAGTATAGCGGTCTGAACAACGAATAATGATAGTCGATGGTATAGGGATCTGAACTGAACAACGAATAATCGAATAGTCGTATTCCCTCAGCGTCCCTATACCTTTATACTACAGTTCTGAATCTACCCCAAACCCCTGCACGGCTTGTTGTTATTATTAAGGCCCTACATCGCATGATTTTGATTTTGGCTCTCCTACGTCACGAAGTCCCGACACCCCCCATGTTGAGTCCGTGAAGTTCCATGTCGCAGCTCTGAGTGGGACGCCAAGCCGACGCCGAAACTAGCGTAAACGTCTTCCGAAGCGCAGGCATTCAATTCAGCCCTAAACCCTAAACCCCTAAACCTACACCCCTAAACCCTGAACCCTAAACCCCTAAACCCTAAACCTAAACCCTGAATCTTAAAGCTTAAGCCCGAAGGAACCCGAGAACCTGAACCCGAATTCTACCCAAGAGAAGTCTAAACTCCCCTATTAGGGTTTAGGGTTTAGGGTTTAGGGTTTAGGGTTTAGGGTGCCGCAGGAAGGCTTAAAGGCCATTCTGGGCGAAAAGTTTTGCTGGAAGACCATTGGACCGAACCTGAGAAGCGATCCCTGGGGGCAGGCTTTTGGGCTAAGGACTCCAAACCCTAAACCCCTAAACCTAAACCCCTAAACCCTGAACCCTAAACCCCTAAACCCTAAACCTAAACCCCTAAACCCTAAACCCTGAACCCTAAACCCTAAACCCTAGTCTAGCTAGGGTTT